TAAACAATGAACACATGACTACAAAAATGCGATCAATGGGGCAGAAGACAACCTTATCCGAAGCAACACTGAAATAGCAGAAATCATTGCCGATCTACTTTTAGACGACCACAACAACTTAGATGGTGATTGGTTTGACGGCTTCACTGCCGACGACCTGTCAAACAATTAATATTTTGTGTCTGACGGTACTGCCTAGAAAAATATAAAAAGGCAGTGCAGCCAGACGGCTACTTTGTAGCCACGTGTTCATTGTTTGTGTACAGAGTGACCTTTGCCATTTCACTGCTCCATTTCAAGTGTAACATGGTGCGTGGTCCTTAACGCAGTGCGTGTTCTCTGCCCGACTATACGCCATGAATGTCGCTAGCCACGAGTCTGAGGCACTAAAACAACGTCCTGTAATCGTGTTCATTGGAAAACAAAACAAATCACTAATAAATTTATGAAAACAGCTCCTTTTTGAATCGATCTAAAAATCGCGCACCAAAAACCAATAATTTCTGTTTTTGCGCTATTAATTCGCGCACTTGAAAAAATAATTATTTTTACTATCGCGAATTAATCCAGTTTTTACGGTTATATAAAAGCAATCAGACTTGTGGTTTTCAACAAGAAGTCGAAAATATCACTTTTACCAAAAAAGACAAAAATATTCACTAAAATTAGAGAATTGAAGATATCATGAAATCAACAAACCTAAGAGGTCTACCCAAGGTACATATACACCAAGTATCAAAGCATTCAGGCTTGTAGTTTTCAAGAATAAGTCAAAAAAGTAAAACATTGACACGGACGGCTGCGGACAATCACTCATATGATAAGCTCCGTGAAAATAGCGTGTTTTACCAAAAATTACAAAAGTATTCACTAAAAATTGAGAAGTGAAGATATGGTCACAGGATGAACAAATCTGACAGATGCCAACCCAATGCATGTGCACTATCACTACTGTGGGCCAAATTGCTACATAGTAGATATTATTAAATATTATAGTTTTTTGTAGGTACTGTATTTATCCGGCTAAGAGCCCATGCCCGGACAAACGCCCACCCATCACTTTTGATAAAATAAAGAACTTGAGGTCATATCCTAGCAAACGCCCAGGAGGTTTTTTTTACACCTGAAATAAAATAAAATAACAAAAACCTGTTGTGATTCTGATAAAAAAACTTGATAAATAAATGTCAATTGTGTAAAACTAGGAGTGAACGCGAAATAGCTGTGACATAAATAGAGCGCGGTCACCACTGTTTACATTTATTTTTTCAAGATTTTTTATCAGAAACATAACAGCCAGCAAGTCAACAAAAATGTATATTAGTAAAGGAGAAATGGTAGTTAGATCTTTTTGAAATATGTCGTGGCCCTGAAAAGGACCAATAAGTTTGTGTTTCCTTATACCGGATTCTGCCATAAATTCACCCAGGGTCGTTAAACGGCAGTTCGGGTTTAAAAAAAAATAAAATGGGACCAAGAAACTGCCCAGGGCGATTTTTCGGCAGTTTTTTAAGGTGTTATTTTAATCTTTGCTGATGCCTAAAAGTTTCGTCGTAGTCATTGACGCCTATTCCAGAGTATTGATGTTTATTGCGACTAGCGTGAATGGGTTAGCTTCATTTCGACAATGAGTTGTTATCACTGTAAATAATGTTAAATTATTCTTCAAAAGTTCAGTTTATCTTTTGAAAACAAATCATGCCGCTTTCCCTCAAAATCCAAGCCAAAAGATC